TTTTTTTTTTTTTTTTTTTTTTTTTGTCTCTCCAATTTGTTTGTCATGAATGGTTTCGTCTGGTGGTGTGGTGGGACGTCAAACATGGCTGTTGAAATCATTGATAAAACCTGCATAATGTAAGTTAATGAAGATAAATAAAAAAAAGAAAAAGGTTAACATGGATTGTGTGCATGCATAGGAGGCAATCATCTTCGAATCATTCGAGCGAAGAGACGAGAACAGCGGACACATGATAGGAAAAAAAAGGTGCGCTAAGAGCGCTCTGAAGTTCTTGCGCAGTGAACTGCGATGATAAAAACACAATACAGGAATCAAATCAATCAACCCGTCGTCGACTCCAACGACGGACACACTAAACAGCCCTGACCTGCACGCAAAATACACGATTGAAATCAATCAGCCCGTCGTTATGCCACGACCGACACAATAAACATCTGCACAACCGACGACGATTCTGGGCAATCCCTCCGACTTACACACTAAACAGGTGCGCAGTGCACAATGTTCCAACCACATTGAAGCCCATCACGACCAGCCACGTGTACATGCGCCCTCGTTCACACAAGCGGCGCCATTTCCCCCCCCCACCCCCTACGCGTCATCTTTTCCATCGTGCACCCCCCCACTCCCCCCAACCCCTACGCGTCATCTTTTCCATCGTCGTTGTTGTCAGCAGCGGGGGGGCCCGAACCCAACCAATCTACCTTATTCGCATCCTCCGGCCCCAGTAAGCTCGCGTCATGCCTGAAACCAATGCCGCAGGGTGCCCATCCAGGGATGTAGTCGGGGTACTCTCCAAACGTAGCGTTTGCCTTCCCAAGCCTCTCCGTGACGACTTTCGCGGCGCGGACGACGGGTCGTCGATGATCGAAGGACCGATGCATGGACGTGACGAGTGTGGGCTTCGCCACCAGGTTCACGAAGTAGAAAGCTTCATAGTGGCTGCGCGGATCGTCTCCCACCATGCGCATTATCCACATGCACGCTGCCAACAAAAGCCTGAAGCAGTCAGCCACCTGACAGAGACGGTCATGTGAGATGAAGTCGTCGTCGATGTGCGCACCCATTTGCACCGCCACGAGGAATGCATGCGCGATGCAGATGACGGTGGACTCCTGGTACGCCGCCATGTCGTCGTCCTCAGGTCGGTCCTCGATGTTGGCGCCGGCGAACCATAGTGGCAAGTCCGTTGACTGATCTATCGTGTGCGCGCATACCATCGCACTGACGATGTTGCAGCACTCCTCACCGTACCACATAGCACGCGCGATGTCCATCGCTACGGACTCGACCGAGTACTGGAAAGCCACATTGTATCCCCTTGGGCGGTTCCGGGACTTGAATACCCAGCCATGCAAGATGCGCTGAGCAATGTTCTCCACTGCCGCCGCACGGGAGATCGCTTGCTGCAGTTGTGATGGGTCGGTGATCCTGGCTACCTTCGTGCTGGATTTAGGCAAGACGATGCTCCGAGGGACGACAGGCGCTGGAAGGCTGCTGGCGATGGCGACAAAGTACTCTTTCGTTTCGTGGACGATGTTGTATAGTCTTCGCCCCTCCCCCGTCGTCCAGAAAGCTTTGTCATCAACCCAAAGCACGGCACGATCGATGAGGTCTTTCGCCATCACTCCCCTACGTACCCGGCTTGAACCGGGCTCGCCGCCGTCCTGATCAGTTTTGTTCTTGCCACGCGCATCCTCTCTCGTCGTCGTCACAACAAGCGCCTCCTCTCTCGCCGTCGCAACGGGGGCCACAGTGCCTGAAGGACCCGCACCCGCAGCACCTGCCGGCTCGCCCCCAATTGCGCACGCGTTTGCCACTACTTCCCCCTCGCCGCCATGCTGGACGGACCCTCCGTCATCACCCGGGTTGCGCTCACGTGGCTGAGACGGCGTGGCGGGCTGTCTACCCGCAAGTCGCCTTTCGTCTACCGCAGCGAGTGTCGTCGCCACCGACGCTGGGGTGCCTTATGCAAGAGTGCGCAGGCGACGTTTCTCCAAGGGCTCGTCATCATCGCCGCCCAGATCGACGATGACAGCCTTCGCTGTCCACGTGTCGCGGGCACGCAGTTGCTGCGCCTCAAGCGGAGGGGTGAGCATCCTCTTCGAAGCGGTCTGATCAGGAGAGCGCTGTCGAGCGCTCTCCCGTACTGCAGACGAGGTCGCCTCTGCCTGCTCTTCCTCCCTCGTGGAGTCGTCGTAGTCCCCTTCCGCTGCTACCGCCCAACCTTGAGCTCGACGCGGAGGCACGCTTGCTGACGCATCATCCAAACGCGTTGTCTTCGCCTTAGAGCCATGCTGCCGACCTCTTCCCTGCCCTTGGCTGTCGCCAAGGACGCCGTCGCGCTTCTTACCACGTGCGCTCCGCCACGTAGACATGCTTCGTTGGGACCTATGCAGGCGAGGTTAGCGGTCCGATGGGATGAGCGGGAAGTGCTTCGTCGACCGTCGTTTGAAGTCCCACCGATCTGGCGAGAAAAATGTCTCCCGTTTTGCTGCAGCCTGATGAGGACGAATACCCCTACGACGCAGAACATCTCTCCTCCGCGGGAAGTAGACGACGACGTACACGTGCACGACAGAAGGACGATGACCCCGGCGAGAGCGCTCCGCGGCGAAAAGATTGACGGCGAGAAGAACATGAGAGCGACGGTGAGAGTGCTCCGCGGCGGAATGATTGACGACGGACGTCCACGTGTACGACAAAAGGACGACGACTCCAGCGAAGATCCTCCACGTAACGAGATGGCTACAAAGGCGTCGGCGCTGGTCCTCCGCGACACTGAAGATGTCCGCGGGGAGCAGGCGACATTTATCCGCGGCGAGCACGCTTGTACTGCTCCTGCGTCGTTGCGTTCGGTGTGCAGCACGCACAGCAGGCTTCTGTAATGGAGACACCCTAGTGCGGACACCATTCATGCCGGTTGGGATGCGCACGACTGAAGTTAACGCAGCAGATGGACCGCCCACGACGTCACTTCTCTGTGGCGAGAAAAGGCATCGTCGACGGTGCCACGTGAGACCACCCTGCCTATCTTGTCGTGTCATTATGATCCTTCCCAAGGCGCGAAAAGACCCTTCGACGTCCCTGGCGACGCGCGTCAATTCACTCACCAGGGACCAAAAGTAAGAAAACCCACCTTCACCCCTAGCCACCCCACCCTACGAAACACCCGCGGACGCGTCCGCGGGTCCGATCTCGGATGGCAGACGCAGATGGGGCCGTGTCCGCGGCCGACCTGGTCCGTGCCACAGACCCGATTTCACCAGAATTTTCCTGAATTAAATAATAGGTTAAAAAAAACAAACAAATATGGGGTTGTAGGGAATTGTAAGCCCTACAACCCCATATTTTATTTTTTGGAATCCGACTTTGTTTAGGATTTTTAAAAAATCGAAAACTAAATTCGATTTAAAGAAAATTAAAAATATATATATAAAGAAAA